TTTTGATATGTTTTTGTATCCGATTCGCCAGAATTTTATTGAGGATTTTTGCATCTAGGTTCATTAGAGATATTGGTCTGAAGTTTTCTTTCTTTGAAGTGTCTTTGTCTGGTTTAGGTATCAGGGTGATGTTGGCCTCGTAGAATGAATTTGGAAGTTCTCCCTCTTTTTCTATTTCCTGAAGTAGCTTGAAAAGTATTGGTATTAGTTCCTCTTTAAAGGTTTTGTAAAATTCTGCTGTATACCCATCCGGTCCTGGGCTTTTCTTAGTTGGTAGTCTTTTGATGGTTTCTTCTATTTCCTCAATTGATATTGGTCTGTTTAGGTTGTCTATATCCTCCTGACTCAATCTGGGCAGATCATATGACTTCAGAAATTTATCGATGCCCTCACTATCTTCTAATTTATTGGAGTATAAGGATTCAAAATAATTTTTGATTATCTTCTGTATTTCTGAAGTGTCTGTTGTGATATTGCCTTTTTCATCCCGTATGCTAGTAATTTGAGTTCTCTCTCTTCTTCTCTTCGCTAGCATCGCTAAGGGTCTGTCGATTTTGTTTATTTTTTCAAAGAACCAACTTTTAGTTTTGTCAATTTTTTCAATTGTTTCTTTTGTTTCGATTTCATTAATTTCAGCTCTGATTTTAAGTATTTCTTGCCTTCTACTTCTTTTGCTGTTGTTTTGCTCTTCTTTTTCTAGGATTTTGAGATGAAGCATGAGATCATTTATTTGTTGGTTTTTTCTTTTTTTAAGGAATGAACTCCAAGCAATGAATTTTCCTCTTAGAACTGCTTTCAATGTGTCCCACAGATTCCGATATGTTGTGTCTGTGTTTTCATTAATCTCTAAGAATTTTTTAATTTCCTCCTTGATGTCTTCTATAACCCATTGATCATTCAGTAACCTATTGTTCATTCTCCAAGTGATGTATGCTTTTTCCTTCCTTCTTTTATCGTTGATTTTCAGTTTCATTCCATTATGGTCAGATAGGATGCATGGTATTATCTCTACTCCTTTATATTGTCTAAGCGTTGCCCTGTGACATAATATATGATCTATTTTTGAGAAGGATCCATGTGCTGCTGAGAAAAAAGTGTAACTGCTTGATGTTGGGTGGTATATTCTATATATGTCAATTAAGTCTAGGTTATTAATTGTGTTATTGAGTTCTATAGTTTCCTTATTCAACTTTTGTTTGGAAGATCTGTCCAGTGGCGAGAGAGGTGTGTTGAAGTCTCCCATGATTATTGTATGGTGGTCTATTAGACTCTTGAACTTGAGAAGAGTTTGTTTGATGAACATAGCTGCGCCATTGTTTGGGGCATATATATTTATGATTGTTATGTCTTGTTGGTGTATGGTTCCCTTAAGTAGTATGTAGTGTCCCTCTTTATCCCTTTTGATTAACTTTGGCTTGAAATCTATTTTATTTGATATGAGTATGGACACTCCTGCTTTTTTCCGAAGTCCATATGAGTGATATGATTTTTCCCAACCTTTCACCTTCAGCCTATGTATGTCTTTTCCTATCAAATGCGTCTCCTGTAGGCAGCATATTGTTGGGTCTTGTTTTGAGATCCATTCTACTAGCCTGTGTCTCTTAATTGGTGAGTTTAAGCCATTAACATTTAGGGTTATTATTGAGATATGGGTTGTTGTTCCAGCCATATTTGTTTATTTATGTTACTAAACATGGTTTGTTTTCCTCTTTGATTATTCCCCCCCCTTTACTGTCCTACCTCCCACTGTTGGTTTTCATTGTTATTTTCCATTTCCTCTTCCTGTAATGTTTTGCTGAGGATGTTTTGAAGAGATGGTTTTCTAGCTGCATATTCTTTTAACTTTTGTTTGTCGTGGAAGGTTTTAATTTCATCTTCCATCCTGAAGCTTAATTTCGCTGGATACACAATTCTTGGTTGGAACCCATTTTCTTTCAGTGTTTGAAATATGTTATTCCAGGATCTTCTAGCTTTCAGAGTCTGTGTTGAAAGATCAGCTGTTATCCTGATTGGCTTGCCCCTAAATGTAATCTGCTTCCTTTCTCTTGTAGCTTTTAAAATTCTCTCCTTATTCTGTATGTTGGGCATCTTCATTATAATGTGTCTAGGTGTGGATCTCTTATAATTTTGCACATTCGGCGTCCTGTAGGCTTCTAGAATTTGGGATTCTGTCTCATTCTTCAAGTCTGGGAAGTTTTCTCGTATTATTTCATTAAATAAATTGCTCATTCCTTTGGTATGGAGTTCTATACCTTCCTGTATCCCAATGACTCCTAAGTTTGGTCTCTTAATGTTATCCCATATTTCTTGGATGTTCTGCGCATGGTTTCTTAACAGTCTTGCTGAGCTGTCTATGTTCTTTTCAAGTTGAAATACTTTGTCTTCATTGTCTGATGTTCTATCTTCTAAGTGTTCTACTCTGCTGGTAGTACTCTCAATTGAGTTTTTAAGTTGGTTTATTGCTTCCTGCATTTCTAGGATTTCTGTTTGTTTGTTTTTTATAACCTCTATCTCCCTGTATAGTTGATCCTTTGCTTCCTGGATTTGTTTGTGTAATTCCTTGTCGAAGTGATCTTTCATTGTCTGATTTTGCTGTCTAATTTCTTCCTTGATACTCCAGATCATCTGAAGCATATATATCCTGAATTCTTTATCTGACATTCCATCTGCTGCAGCTGTTACCTCTTCTAAAGTTGAGCTGACCTGCATTGCTTGTAGTCCTTTCTTTCCTTGTCTTTTCATACTGCTTGCGTTTCTTTCTTCTTGGTGAAACTGTTGTGTTTTTGAAATTTTTCCCCCCCCTATATATTTATGTTGCTCTTGTATAGTTGAAAATTCTCCCTTGCAGGTGCGGGCAGGGGCTCTGCTCTGCCCCTCCTCCAATTGGTGTGAGGTGTCTACCACGCCCGCGGACCCCTGGGCCTGATCCGCTGTTCTGTCGCAGGTCTGCCTACCTTGCAGGTGGGGGCGAAGGCTCTGCCCTGCCCCTCCTACCACGCCCGGGGACCGCTAGGCCTGATCTGCAGGTTGGTCGCAGGTCTGCCCACCTTGTGGGCAAGGGTGTCAGTTCCGCTCCGCCCCCACTCCAATTGGGGTCACTTGACCACCACACAGGCGAGCCGCTGGGCCTGATCTGGGCGCGGGCTAAGGCTCTGCTCTGCCCCTACTCCAGTTGGGGTGAAGTGTGTACCACGCTGGCAGGCCGCTGGGCCTGATCCACAGGTCTGTCGCAGGTCTGCTTACCTTGCCAGCGCGGGCGGTGGCTCTGCCCTGCCCCTCTTACCACGCCTGCAGACCGCTGGGCCTGATCTGCAGGTTGGTCGCAGGTCTTCCTACCTTGCGGGCGTGGGCGGCGGCCCCTCTCCTCGCCTCTGGCTCGACGACAAAGCGAGAGAGACTCGGGTATCTGTGACTCACCCTCCCTACCAGGGGACCAACTGTTTCCGTCGCCGCTGGCACCGATGAAGTTTTCTCCTCGGCCGCTCTCCGATGACATCAGATCTCTGCCATGCTGGCATCCCCTGTTCTATGGCTGAATCCCATTTTCTTCTCTTCCAATAGGCGGAGCTGTGCCCTCTGAGCTGAGCTTCTGCCCTCTATGTGCTGACAGAAATCCCTGTACGGTGGCTCCTGGGAGTCTCTCAATCCTGTTAGTCCAGAGCCCTTTCACTTATCCGGCCCCTCCCCCTGTTCCTCCTCCCAGCCAGCCAGCCAGGTCCTGTTCACCAGAGGCGGTTCCCCAAGGATCTGATTACACTTGCAGCCCCACCGCGTGTCCTATATCCCGAACGATGAACACCCTTTCTGTCATTCAATTAAGCCCCAGTGCTGTGGTGGGGTGATCTGGGAACCAACAGTTAAATTTTTCAGGACCCCTTTGGTGGGCACGCCCCCAGAAACTGGCGGCTAAGATCTTGGGTGTCGCCGCTGGTGTTAAGGGGAGGTGGGGATCTGGAGTCCCCTCTGCTTCCCTACAGACACGCCCCCGGTGGTTTCCTGGCTGCTTGTATCTGGAGGGGGTGGGAGTCACACACCTGCTAATGTGGATTCCGCTGGGAAGGAATTCTGTCGGCGGAACTCTGGTGATGTCACCACTCTGCTATGGCAGGCCCCAGGCTCCTTGCCAGAGTGTCCGAAGGGAGGGGTGGGACTGGTCTGTCTCTGGTTGGTTTCAGCTCCCGGTTTGCTATTTCATGAAGGCTTGGCGAGAGACCTCTTCCTAGAGTCCCTGCACCGCTCCTGCTGCGCTGCGCTGCGCCTCGGAGGCTATCCGCCCTGACGCGGGCCGCGTGCAGGCAGCCGACAGTCGCCGAGTCGCGCGGGCAGCGGCTGGCGGGTCTGGACCTCTGCGCTGCGTGGCGGAGATTCACTCGTCTAGCGCAGACTGTCACCTCCAAAAATCCTTCCAATTCCCGGCCGGTCTCTCTTTAGTGGAATTTTGCTAGGAGTTTCTCAGCAGGTCATATCTAAGCGTATCCATGCGTCTCTCTGACCCCTTTGTTGAGGAGGTACTGAAAGCGCTGCCTCCCCTCTCGCCGCCATGTTGGATCCCTCTTTTCCACATTTTTTTAAAAATTATTTTCTTTTAATGTAGAATGAATTTCCAGAATGGAGTAACTATGTTAAAAGTCATGAACATTTTCCTATCTTTTCTTATTTATTGCCAAATGGCTCTGCAAAACTTTGGCATCAATTTGTGTTCCCACAAGCACTTCCTGAGAAGGTGTACTTCATCACTCCCTTACCTATAATTTAATAAATAGCCTTTGCCTACTTAATAGGCAAAACAATGTCATCTTGCTCTTTTAAGAATTTCTCGTCTGACTTGAATTTGAATCCATTCATTGCTTTGTTCCCTCAGTTTGTGAGAGAACACACACTTGTCGTTCAATTTGTTCATTTCCTCACATGTGTGGGCCAAAGAAGTCACTCCATCCTTCTCATCAAGAATACAACATTCTCCTGAGCTCATAAGTATAAAACTTGGCTTTATTTTGTAGTGAATCTGAACGGTGCTTACCCCAAGCTGGTGCCCTTCAGACCTGCGGGACGGCTGATCTCCCCACCTCTGCTGCTTTCTGTCATTCTCAACATTCTTCTCAGCCTGGCCATGCATATTGTTGGCTTCATCCTGGTTCAGAAACAGCCTTGGTATTCTATGGAATTGCACAGGTATGATCACAGCCTCAATTCCAGCTTCTCACATTCTAATTTCTGTCAAACACAATCTGACCAATATGAAAGGAAGCGAATGAGTTTTCAACCTGCAAAATGATCTTGCCTTCCTTAAGTACTTTGGGCAAATTTCTAGCCGTTGTTTCTTCTCTGTAGCACAGTTTGATGGTATCATTCATTGTATCTTCTCTATACTGTGTGATAATACAAATATTACCATCTGGATGGCCATAGACCATAGTTTGCTCGGTCTGCCTCCGTTTAAGCTGCCTGCCGTTACTTCATGTCACAGTGAAATTATTAAAATTTTTACTTTCAAAACTTTCCCTGTTCAATGATAAATTATATGGTCAAATGACTTATAAATGATCAGAGATCTTAAGCCACTCAAGAGAAGAATCATGATTTACTCATCTCTTTCCTGTGTACTTTTAATCTACACAGTGGGTACACAATTTGATGAATAAATAGCCAGTTGAATCTATCATCTATTGATCGATCAATCTGTCTAACTATCCATCCATCAATCAATCCATCCTTCTAACATGTAGGTCTATCATTGTGGGTTTATTTCTTCTAATTATTTAACCAAGCATAAGTAATTATAGAAGTGCTGAGTGCCTGCTCTGGACATTGTCTGGCATGGAGTCTCATGGATTACAAGTGCTTCATAGGGCTTGTCACCTTACTTCATTATCTGTTTTTGTTCTCTTTCAGTGCCTGCACAGCACAAAATCAAAGCATCTCAAAGTTAAACATTTCTCCAACTGTTCCTGAAAAAGTTGGAAGTAATAGTGCCTTTACAAGTTTTGAGAACACTACTATATGGTTCTTGGGAACAATCAACTGTATCATTGTGGCTTTTATATTCTCTAAAGGAAAACCATTCAGGCAGCCCACCTATACAAACTGTGAGTAAAGTTGTATGGGATCAGAGGTGAAGGGTCATAAGAGAGAATAGAAATGCTCAGGCCACACAAGAAACAGCTAAGTGGACTCACCTTGTGTCTCCTAAATCCCACTCTAGAGCTCTGTAAAGCACCGTGTGCAGCCTCACCCCTGGGGTTCTTGCTCCTTACTTTAAAACTGCATTAGATCAGAGGCTTCCCTCCCCATCTTTTCCCTTCACCTGATGTTTTTAGGTGTCTTTTTTGGGGATCACTCCAAATTGAGAAGATTGATTTATTTCCTTACTTGTCAGAATTCATTCTGGCAGGTGGGAAGAGGGGTCAGTTGGAACCAGTCTTCTGTCATGAAGATAGTGGTCAGAACGCTATTATGTGGTGTTGGGTTGGGAGCAGGTCCAGCCTGGAGAAACCTGTAAAGAGGATTGAGGAGGCTCTCTGCTGAAATACCTCTTGTCTTCTTACATTTGGGCAGTGGGTTACTATTTAGTCTCTGGGTCATTAATATGTATATAAGCCCTTCCCCTCCAACTGGGGAGATTGAGAAGCACAAGTTGAAGAATCAATATCCTTATAAAAATATATTAGTTCAAGGAAAATTATTTTGTCTTTCTCTTTCTTAGGCTGAGGAGTCACTGAATGCTGACCTCTATATAATTGCAATTTAAAAATATTTTTATTTATAGCCCTCCTTTCTTTTCCAGAAAAAAATTGAGACAGATGAGTTGTATTATAGAGAGCCAGATACTTGAATGTCTTCACAGCATTTATTGAAAATGTATTCTGTCAATGTTCTATCTCTAGATATTTACCATTTTTATTAATTGAAACTTATAATATGCATGTGGAAATTACCACTTGCCTCAAGGATATGCTTGAAAATTACAGATGTGAGTCCCATTGCATAGAAATGAGTGCTTGCCATCTATTATGCTGTGTTTGATGTAGAAATCAAGTAAATTTAATGCTAATCTAGAGTATGTCTGTCAATAAATGTGACACTTCATACTCTGATTTCTCAAAATGATAGCTTGTGTTCTTATTTCCTCAGATATATTTGTCCTTGTGCTGATTATACAGCTGTGCGTGTGTATATTCATTCTATTTGCTGATATTCCAGAATTGTATAGAAGTTTGGATGTAAGTTTTATCTCTGGGGATATGATGATGTTTTACAGTTTTGTTATACCCTGACTTTAAAAATCAGGTCACAATTGCAATTGACATGGATTTTTGTTTTATTTGTCTTTCTTAGACATACATGACAATAGAGTGTATTTTAACGCATTATACATACATGGAGTGTAACTTATTCTATTAGGATCTTATTCTTGTGGTTGCACATGATTGACATGGATTCTTAACACCAATTATACACTTTTGGAATGGCAGAGTTTTAAAATGCTGAATTTAAACCTACTTTTAAATTTAAGCTGATCAGGAAAAATAATTCTATCTAGTCTGGATTTCCTGAGAATAAAGGCAGCCTTTGAAAAGTATTGAGAGTTTTTCTTTTAAAAGATCCCCTGTAAGAGTGGAATAAATCTATTTATACATTTTCTCTCAAATATGTAAGAGAATTTTCTTCTAAGTGCTTCTGTTTTAAAGCTGTTTAAAACAGTTTGCCTGCAACAATTTTTAGGTTGATTCTCAAATCTATATTCACATTTCCCCCTCTTTAAAAACACATTTTTCTGCATGTTCATACTTAATGTATGAAAACTTACTCAAAGAGCCCAATTCTATCTCATGCACTCTCTTACATTTTATAATATTGGGACACCTTTGAAACCCTAAGAGATACCACACTTTCACCTACTCAAACAAGGGAAGAGCAAGTATTTTGATTCCTCCAGTCTATTCCACTTTTGAATTCAGATGTAATCATTGCTAAATGTTCTTTACATCAGTAAATACACTCAGAAGTGCTGGATAAAGGAACTGAGCTTTTTAAAAATAGTGTGGTGTATATTTTAACCTAGTGCTTTGCTTGCCTCTCTGTGTAGAAGATTAGTTTTAACAGGGCCAAGATCATATCCTCTTCATTATTGTGTTACCAGTGCCTTATTCAGCGAAAAGCACAAAATGACGAAGGAATGACTAACTGATCAGCGTACATTAGGTTGCTAAATTCAGACAAGCACTTTGGACATACAGTGCATGCAAAACCAGCACACCTTCATGAGCTCATGGTGACTTTGACATTCTAACAAAATATCTATCTTAGTTTCTTCATCTTTATAATTGTGTTATTTTGGTTAGCAGTGTTACCATTGTCAAATGTCTTCATTAACTAGAATAATGGCTTGTAGAAATACATAGACTTTATCCACAAGCTAACCTTCCTAATCCTGCAGAAGTTAAGGTTTAGCCATGTTGGTTTAAGCACACTCTTAAGTATAGGAAGACACCCAGAAAGCCTGGACACCTGCTGTAACAAAGCCGGGAACCTATTTGGTTGGAGGGAAACTATGTGGAGTCATCGCCATTCTGACCAGAGGATCCCTCCAAGAATTATTGTTCACTTTGAAAATAATTATGTTTCTTTTTATTGCATAAACATATGAGTTCATTAAAGAAGATTTAGAATATGCAGGCAAGGAGAATTATAATATTATTCACTATATCCTTCTATCCTTCAAAATTCATGTATTATAAATGTGCATTGACTAATTTATGAAATTTATTTTATCTTAAATGGAATCATACTGTTTTGCAACCTAGATACTGCTCTTTTTTAAAAAAATAGTTTTTTTTTTTAAATAGGGAGTACATTCACATGGTTTAAAATTCAAAAATTATAATATAGTGAAATCTCTCTCCCATCCTACCTCCCCTCTGGTGGCAACCAATGACCAATTTATGTTATATAACTTCACACTTATTTTATACATATGTACAGAAGTATATGTATATATTTCTTATGTGCATATCATCTACGTTTTTACATAAATAATAACAAACTATTATATTTATTCATTATTCTGAGATGTAGATATCAAGGTGGGGGCAGTGATTATTGTAAGAGATTTATTTATTGGAGGAGCTGCCTGTGGAGGAAAGAGTAGGAAGCCAGGGGAGGTGGGGAGAGGCATCATCCTGCTCTGTGGGCCTGACCTTGTGAAGGAGAGATGGAAGGATGGAGGCTGCCTGAGCAGACTGAGCCTGCAGTGCAGTCCCAAGGAAGAGGAGCCAAAATAGCCTGTCAGGAGTATCTGGAATCTCACAGGATCAAGTCTCATGAGGATCTATGTCATCCACATTTATGGGCCATGAGCAGCCCATGAGAAATATGGCTTTCAGGTGGATGTGGTGTTGCATTCTGAGTATACTAGTTGGGACATCCATTATTCATTTTTCTAACTGCAGGAGATCTGAATAGAACATCTTCATAGCTGCTATGACTTACACCTCACTTCTTTCATGCCACTGTGTATTTTGGTAATTGTTTCGTACCAGGACATAAACCCTCATTACATTTACTGACAACATAATATTATTTTATAGATATACACACACATATATATTGTATTTTATTATATGGCACATGTTAGACATATACCATAATTTATATGTAGTCCCCTATTAATCGACATTTAGATGATTTCCAATTTTTCACTATTACAAACAAAGATACAATAACATAACATTGCACATATATAATTTCACCCATTGTACAAGGATATCTCTGGGATAAATTCCTAGAAATGGATTTTAATTTTTAATTCTGAGAGCTCTGTTCTCTATAGAGCTGCATCAGCTTTTACCCCCACCAGTGTCTGAGGCAGGGTTCAGGACTGCTGGGTATATCAGAGAGTACTTGATTTTTTTTCATTCATTCTTCATCCTTCCACCCACTCATCCATCCATTTATCAGTTAATTCATTCATTCAGCACACATCCATATATGTCAAGCATGGTGTGGGAAGGAGTTAGGGAAGACACTGAAAAAGTGTGTAAAAAGACAGGTAGTGATAATCTTGACTCCAGCTCCAATTGCTCCTTTGTCAAGTTCCCTTTGAGGACACAGCCCATGCAGCTGCAGGCACAAGCCCCAACCCAGTACTCAAAAGCAGGATTCGACTAAGGAGAGATGGCACCAGAGGGAAGAGGATAATGCTGTCCAAGGTGGAGGTGTGACATAAGTACCCACTGCTTGGGAGTACAGCCCTTTTCCTGTGTTCCTTCTTAAAAATAAAACAAAGCAGGCAGAAAAAAAGTTTTGATTATTATCTATTTTTATTGCCAACTGAGCAAAGTTATTTTAGGTAATTTATACATTACAGAGAAAAGAAAGAAGAATAAAACAATCATCATCATCATCAAATTGTTGGAATCATTGAATACAAGCCTTCCACACTTTTTCTATGTATATTTGCACAGAAATTCTTTATATGTATGTATGTAATACTCCTACCTACCTACATACATAAATTGGTATATACATATTACTTATGTGGTTTGTAACCTGTGAAAACATACATGGTGAACGTGAAGACTTTTCAGGTGAAAATGTATTTGTTCTTAAGACTAACTGTGCTTCATCACCCCCTGCCAGCTGCTCTGCACGCCTGTCCTGTGGAGGGTCTACATCCTCATCATGCTCAGCTCCAATTTTTTTGTGTCTCTTATTGTGGAGGTAAGTGCCCTCATGGCCTGATAATCACTGTGTGTGTGTGTGTGTGTGTGTGCGTGCGCATGTGCGTGCAGACACATGTGCACTCTTCATTTCCCCACTCACCTCTTTTGTCCCCCCTGGCAACCACTAATCTCCGTTTTGTCTCTATGGGTTTGTCTGTTCTGGACATTTCACATAAATTAAATCATCCCGTATGCTGCTTTTTGTATCTGGCTTCTTTCACTTAATGGCTTGTATCAGTTTTACTTTACAGATAGGAAATGAGATGCATAGTCAGCTTTTCCAGCTTTTATTCTGCAGCTTCCATTTGCCCCTTGTCCTCACTGAAATGAACTGAGGATCCCCTTTTTATTTCTACATAGTTCAGTATCTCTTCCTTTAGGGCTGTTAGATAGAACTCCCTTCTTTAAAGCTTGCTGTTGGACAGGGGGTGCCTCCTAAAATGCCTCCATGAAGAAGTGAGATAAAGGATTCCACCTGTCTCTATTCATTCTCCAAATTATAAAACTAGATTGTCCCAACAAATCAGGTATTCATCATTATGAACTCCTTTCAGCCTGACTTCCCTGAGGTGTTGTAAAGGTAGGAGCTCAATAAACCTTCCTTAGCATGCAAAGTCTGCAGAGTGTCTGGTGGCAGAATAGGGCATTGAATCAGAGCATCAGAGCTTCTCCATATATGCTAAGACAGAGTTTCTCAAACATGAGTGTGCACCCAGAACACCTGGAAGGCTTGGCAAACCCCCAGGCTGTCTGATTCAGTAGGTCTAGAGTAGGCGTAAACATTAGTGTTTGCATTTCTGACAGGCTGCCAGGTGCTTCTGATATGGCCTGACCACAGTTTAAGAAGCATTATGCCTAACCCTGTGGTCTCCAAAGCAACCAAATTAAGAGGAGAGAACAAACCCCATGGGTATCCTCAAACTGAGTTATAGAAGGATGGTCCTTGCCCTTTAAAGGAAAACCTTGTGTGTATATCTTGTCCTTATCCATGCTCACAGGGTTTCCTCCATCTGGTATATGTTTCCCCAAGTTTGCACACTAAAGCTCTGTTTCATCCTCTATGACACAACTGAAGTACCGCCCACCTCATGAATCTTTCCTGATCTCTGAATCTGTTAGAAAAACAATAAAATTCAAATAATGGTAGCTTGAACAATAAAGATATTTATTGACTTAACAAGAAGGGTGGAGGTAGGTGGCTCCAGGACTTGGTATGGTTAGGGATCTGCATTCTTTGATCTTTCTCTCCTACAACCTTGGATGTCACTGCCCATGGAGCTCCCATAGGGTTGTATGATGTATCTGTTTTCATCATGGAAGGAGAGGCACCAGCAAGCTTTTTATCACTCAAATCCGAATTTTTAAAATCAGTCAATAAAAGTTTTCTGCAGCCCATCAGCGGACTTCATGTGGGCGTCATTGGTTAGAAGTGCATCATTGTCCTGACTAGAAAAGGATTCTGGGAAAGGTACTCTGTGCCAAAAAATTAGACAGATTGCCTCAGACCTTTTATTTTCTTTCTTTATTTCCTCCTCCTCCTCCTCCTCCTCCTCCTCCTCCTCCTTTTGTATACTGGGGATTGAACTCAGGGCACTTTGCCACTGAGCCTGAGCCACATCCCCATCCCTATTTTGTATTTTATTTAGAGACAGGGTCTCATCAAGTTGCTCACCTCGCTTTTGCTGAAGCTGGCTTTGAACTCACCACCCTCCTTCCTGAGCCCCTGGGATTACAAGTGTGCACCACTGTGCCCAGCCAGACTGATTTTTGGACAGTTTTTGTTGTTTGTTTGTTTGTTTGTTTCCGGTGGGCAGGGAAGAGCTGGGAGGGAGTGGGCCACAGGATGGTCAAGTGTCAACATCTCCCCTAATCTGCCAGGAAACCCTTCTCCTGTCAGCATACCTGTAGTGAACAGCTGCTCAGGGTAGTCTACCTGGGTGTGAATTCTGCCTCCCAGACTTTCTTGCTGTCTGACAATTGAGGCAATTTACTCCACTTCTTCGCATCTGTTTCCCCTCTATAAAATGGAGCCAATAATAACACCTTACCTCATAGGGTATTGAAGCCTGAAATGTGAATGGTGAAAAGCACATAGTAGGGGTTTGAAAATATAAGCCATAATATTTACCTTATCTCTTATGCATTACCATTTCTTACTTTGTATCTACCAGTCCTTTAATCATTCCTTTCATCTTTCAATTCTTCTCATGAGTATTTGCTGGTCATGTGCCAATGTCCTCCAGCACTATGCCACACCATCTGCCAGGAGAAAGAGGACTAGTGCTATAATTATCTGCATGTTCATTTCTTCTCTCACCTGCCCTTAGACTATGTTGGCAAGGACTCCTGTTAGTAGCTACTGCATCCAAAACTCTGCTTTATTCCAGTAGGGGCTAAATTAAAGTTTATTCAATTATTAAATGTAAGAAGCTCCCAAATAGAAAGGGTAAAAATTTGATGCTCATGAAAGGTAAAGTTTCTTCTTTGTTTCTCATGTTGAGTGAGAAATACAGATGTGTACCTGAGTGTTTAGTTCCCAGTAGCTGCTAAATTGAAAAACAACATCGAAGGGTAGTAGATTCCAATCCAGGTGCCTCCACTTCATCTCCAGATGCTCAGAGTTGCCTGATTTCCTTGAGGTCAGCAGGTACTTAGGGATAACCAAAACCACTTGAGACTTTGGTGAAGGCAGTTGCAACTGAGAATTATGGATACTAAGTTTTCCTGCCTTGTGTAGGTAAATGGCTCTGGGTATGTGTGTCAGAGATGCTAAGGTTTCCTGAGATGAGCTGTACCAACCACATACTGCCTGGCCAGTCTGTAGCACTGATGTTCCAGAGAGGTTTTTTAAAGGGCAGGCATGAAAGATGGCTGGCCTCCTTTTATACATCCTCAGTATTGCTTGGTTTGCTGAGGTCTAACTCCAATCCCAATCCTAACCCTTGTTGTAACCCTAATCTTAGAGCAGTGCAGAAAACAAACAGGTTTCAACAGGACCTTACTATTTCCCTTTCCTCCTGCTGAGAAGATGTAAGAGCTAATATGGACAGCATTAGTCACCTCCACTTTTTAAATCAGGTGTGTGTATTTGTGTGTAAATATATAGCACATGGATTACATTGTAGCCAGTCTGAAAAGCTCATGTGGTGAAGTTTATTTATTTATTTATATTATTATTATTACTTTTTGCGGGGGTGGGTACCAGGGATTGAACTCAGGGGCACTCAACCACTGAGCCACATCCCCAGCCCTATTTTGTATTTTATTTAGAGACAGGGTCTCACTGAGTTGCCTAGTGCCTCGCTTTTGCTGAGGCTGGCTTCGTTTTTTTTTTTTTTTTTTTTTTAAGAAACAGTGTCTTATTCAGACTTTCCTTTTTTTTTTTCCTAGCTGTGCATTTAATTTATAATGTAGAGTGACAAGCCAGATAAGCTCTCAGTGCTTCAGTGTCCCTTTCCAGAGCAGCAAGGTGACAGAGGTCATCACACTTTTAGAACTGAGGAAAGCTCCAGGGGAGATGGAGAGCACTAAAGTTTCTCCATCTCTCTCTCTCTGTCTCTTTCTCTGTCTTTCTCGTGTGTGTGTGGGTGTGTGTGTGTGTGTGGTTTAATTTGAAATCCTGCTAAGTTTTCTTGGAGTTAAATTAGACTTAAAAGCTGCGAGTTGATGCTCATGTTCCTGCCTTATCCCAGCTCTACCGAGAACTATAGTTCTCTTGTTAAATGAGGACAAAACCCTGCTGTGGACAGTAGAATAACAAGTCTTGCTGGCTGAGCCCTGAGGTTTGCACGAAGCAGATGAAGGCTACGTGGGTCTTCCATAGCCTCCAGAAGATGATCTCTTTTAGAGGAAAGAGATGAGTTCCCATCTATTCTTCATTGGGTAATAAGACTTAAACAGCAAAGATGGGTGAATTTTAGGAAAATCACTGTCTTTGGCAAAGTTCCTTGTAGAATCCCATACAGTTAACTCTTTCAACTTAGCAAAGATACATGGTGGACATAAAAATCATGTCTAATTTTACGGGACAACTTGGGTTCTCATATTTTCTCACTTCTTTCATGGTAACATCTACGATGCTCAACTTTTGTGACCAAATATGATAAAAGTGGAAAATTAATACACTAACCTATTATGCACTCAACATTATAAGTTATACTGTGGTCTCTGTTCAAGGCTCAGTCTCTCATGAAATAAGATATCATCAGACCACAAGCTTCTAGAGAGGCATGTGTAGACAGGGCCACAGTGCACAGCCATTTGTTAAAGGAGTAGTTAAGAAGGGTGGGGACAGGGCGGGAGCTATGCCATGCTCGGCCCTGCATTGTAAGGAGAATTATGTATCCTAAAATCAACATAAGGAGGGGATTATTACTTCTAACCACTGAGACTTGGATAGGGTAATTAATTTGCCCACAGAAATTGTTAGAGCTGGGACCTGAATCCAGATCTGTTCAACTCCAAGACGGAGGCTTGTATTCTAATTTCAACAACCTCTATTCATGACGAGGCATGATATGCCAGGGTGTACCAGAGAAATATAGACAGCACATTGAGTGATTTGAAATTTAATTTAGATGTGAGACTCAAAATAAGTCTATCTTTCAGGCAGGTCACTTTGGGCTTGGTTTCCAGGTTCTAGAAAGTATATGTTCTTTCTTCCCAGAAAAATTACTTAAGTAGTGAAGTTTGAGAAACCAAGACTTATCTCATGAAACCTTCTTACATTTGTTAGGGATCAAGTTCTTTGTTAAGCTGAATCTAAGCAGCAGTAACAACAGTGCCTTATTATGGTCTGTGAAGTGCTTTAGCTCCAGAGGCCCTGACCTCTGATGGTAAACAGAAACTTTTATTTTGCAGGAGGCCATTATTGAAAACCGAGCTCTGTGGATGGCAATCAAAAAATGTGTTGGCTATCAATCAAAAAGTCAGTATCGAATATGGCAGAGGAACTTGGCGAATGATTCCAGCTGGCCCCCGCTAAACCAGATCTCCTACTCTGATATGCCTGGGCGTGGCAGGGGGGTGTCCTACAGCAATCCTGTGTTTGAAAGCAATGAGGAACAGCTCTGAAGGGAATGTGATAGCCAAGTGATATCACAGAGAAACAATGACAAAGTGACCTGTCTCAGTGATGTTAAAGCAGAGGGACTCTTATAATATCAACTGGAGTTTGGGGGATACCAAAATCAATATCAAATTATGGTGACAAATTAAAGTCTGTCTGAGAAAGTACTTTCTACAGAGAAGAACACCACCCCCTAGAAGAGTACATTCCTCTTGGCTTTTGAAAGTATTGGAGGCACCCGGTGGACCATGGATGGGCCAAGGATTGAAGTTGGTCAAGAGATTGGCAAGCCGAGGAAAACACAGAATCTTTCTTCTTAGGATAAGTCTTTCTTTTTTTCCTTTTGTAAAAAAATGAGTTGAAGGGAAGTCATACTATGTATAGTTATAGAGTCGTAACAAGCTACAGTTCAGTTCTGAACTTTTACTTCATTGATGGAAAAACTAATCTATGGGAATCATCATGGCAGTCTTGACTCTCTGATTTCCTTTCCTGTGCAGTAATTTTCAGGTTTGAAGCTTCTCCCTCTGCTTCTGGGTTTCCCCTACATATTGTTCAGGATAAGTTCAGCCGACGCTCCAATAACAACCCCCACATCTCAGTGCCTTCATATGCTGGAGCTTCTTTCTTACTCCAGGTGACTCTAGGACAGCTGCACTGACAGTGCCGACTGATGACCTGATGGATCCCCCTGGGCTCCATGCTTCTGGTGGCAGGGGAAGGAAGATACTGGAGACCACATGGGGTGCTTCACAGTCTCATCTCAAAGTCTATTCTGCTCTCGTTTCACTAGCCAGGGATTTGGCCACAGAGCTGGAAAGTGTGGTCTCTTGTGTCTGGGGACTTCATAGTTCTGTGAGTGTGTGCGTGCGTGCGTGTGTGTGTGTGTGTGTGTGTGTTTCTGGGGATTGAACCCAGAGCTTCATGCACTCTAAACAAGCACTCTACCATGGAGTTACACCTCCAGCCCTTAGGGGGTCTTCATAGACATGTGGCCTGTGCCCACACAGGTTCCCCTGCTTCCAAGGGCCTCGTGCTTGGTTTAATGCTCTGCTGCTTCTATGGTATAACTTTTTAAACAAAGTTGCCTCATTTTCATTTTTGCACTGGGCCCCACAAATGATGTAGCTCTCTGACTCACATTCTAGGGGAAGCAAGGAAAGTAGCATCTCAAAGAGCCTGAGTATTATACACTGAACTCTTCTTCTCCCAACCCTGTGAATGTCTCTGTTTTAGGAACTCCTAATCTCATGTGCTCAACTCCAAGAGTTTCCACTTTTCTGCTTCTTATTTTTGAGAAATTTTAGTCTCGTGCATTTTGCAAAATATATATCATCATTATAGAAGTCACCTCATAACCTTTGCATTTTCTAAGTTTAAGCCTTCAGTTTCTAGAAAACAACAAAAAATTCTCTTATTTTATCACTATTACAACTTGTTCATATTGTATTAATTCAGCATAGAAAACACCCAGTTTTCTGTTAAGTCACTAGATGATATTGAATTCTAGGAGAACATTCACATACAGTATTTCAAAGCAAAAGTAAAATTTCATCATGAACATGAAATCCTAAATGAGTGCTTTGAGCAGGACATGAGTGTTCTGGTCCTGGTAGGCTTTGCTATCTATGAACAGCACCTGCCAGTGTCCCTTTCCCCAGCTGAGCTCTTGAGGATAGTTGGTAGCTCTGGGACTGTGACTACAGCTGCTTCTGGGAAAATCAGTGTCTCATAGCCATGAGGGTACCGGTGCTTCTGCTGCTGATTTTAAAGTAGGGTATGAGGAGGTCCATGTCCCAAGGCTGCATAATCATTGTCTCCTTTGGTACAGAAGGAAATGTTTCCATCTGCAAAGACAGCCTCACCACTGATATGGTGGCTCAAAACTCTTTTTTCTAAAACAGATAGATTTTTTTTCATTTTCCAAAAGTAGACAGTTATAGCAGGGGCATAGAGGTAGCTCACAACCTCGTCATGACTAAGAACAGTGTGCACAGTTAGTACTTTAAAAATCCCCTCACCAAGTGCTTTCCCTCTACTAACTCATTGGAATTGCACAATTCTCCAGTGACTACACAAGGAAGGGCTTATCTTTCCCAGATGAGAAAATGGAGATTTAGGTTGGTAAGAGCAGACCCAGACCTCAAACACAAATCTTCTGAGCAAGTTTTATATTGCTCCCAAATAGTTCCTAATTAGAAAGTTCTAGTAGGGCATGTTTTCAGAGTGATCTCACAGTTAAGCAAAGAATGGATTTCTTATTTGCCAGGTGGAAGGAGGTTACCCTTTGCTAATAACAGGGCCTCTGTTCAAATGAATGCAGGCATCCTGCCAGGCCTGGGACAAAGGTGTGCTAAAAACAAAACAAAACCAAAAAAAAAAAAAAAAAAAGAGTATCTGTTTGTCTTTCTGAGGCTGTGAGTTGCTCTTGCCTTGGTCCTCATGTATTCCAATCTCAGAAACTGTCAATGGCTGGCAGGAAGCAGGGGTAGAGGACTCTTGTCCCGCACTAGCCACCAACCCTAAATCTTTGCCAAAGGGATTCTTCTTAAAGACCGCCTTCTTGGGACCAACTGCATCTTAGAAGCAGTAAGTGATACTGGCTGAGCGCGGAAGGAGCTGGGGAACCGCGAGAGCAGCACTCAGATACTTGATAGATGGTCACGGAAAAGAAGGTGCTTGAGCCCGCAGAACAGGGATGAGGGGCAAAGAGCAGGTGGAAGGACCCACAGCTAATGTGAAGACCCCAGCCCCAGCAGCCAGCTCTGAGGGAAGTGAAAACTGGGGAGCACAGGCTGTGTACCCGGTAATATAGCAGGTATTAGTGGCTGGTCCAAGACCAATTAGAGAAGGGAGTCAAGTATCAGATGGAACTTGATTACCTGCAAAACCCCTTCCCCACTTGGGACACCCAGTGTCTGAGTCTTACACCATGATGTGAATCATTTACTACAACTGTCCACACAGAATATCACATGGATACACTTGGCAGATGGGCTGGTGTGGACATACCAATTTGACAGCTCTTTGCCTTGGATGGGAACTTCTAATGGGGATAAGAGCCTAGAAAAGAGGCAGAGTGAGGGCTCCTCACTGCCTAATCAACAGCTCCAGGAATATTTTCGCTGTGTGTATTTTCTTGAAAAGAGGTATGGGAAAACTTTGAGTAAATGATCCTGGGAGAGGGCCCCAAATGTGAGTATAGAGTTACCTGCCCCAATACACTTTCCTGAGCAAGATTCGGAGAAGAAAAGGACATCATCAGTGATTCAGATAATCAGAGGGGTCTCCCATGTGTTCATTCCAAGGTATCCAATGCTTGTCTGACGAGAAGCACCCTGGCTTGTGCTCTCCCCACTCCACATGCGAAAATCCGAGAGTGGAAATATGTCTTGTCCTCAGTGTTCTCATGTGCTCACAGAAATGTGCATGTACAGTAGCCGATGTGGTGATGGGAAAGTGATTATTTATTCAGAAACTTGTATTTAGTTTATTCGATAATAAATTATTCTGTACAAAAGAGATAAGTAAATCTACAATCCTATTGTCCTAAAACTTCTTTCTGTCTCTGTCTCTGTTTCTGCCTCTCTCTCTCTCCAGGGAAGTCTTTCATTCTGGCTAACACAATCTGGATGTTCTCTTCCAGCAATGTGACTCAAAGTCACATCTTCACAAAGTTCCAGGCACTTCCTCACTCCACGCAAGCTGTTATTCCTGCATTATTCACAGGGCTTTACAGTTTGCAGAATGTTTCCATACTTTTTCTCTCATTTAGGCTTTATAGCAATCTTGGAAGGAAAGCCAGGCAAGATCTGCTCTCCCCCTACTTCTAATGAGATTCCAGATTCTCCAAGAGGCTCAGTAATGGCCAAGGACATGCAGCTAGTTGCAGAGGAGCTGAATGCAGACGCGGGTCCTCTATCAGCAAATTCCCTGCTGTGTCATTCTTTAATGTTGTTTTCTTCGAAATGAAAAGTTTGTAGCATTGAAAAACACGCTGGCAGCAAGGCGACTATCCAATGCAATTGCCACCATGAGTATAATTTCCTTCAGAAAGAGATTTTAGTTTCTCATAGAAGTTCTCCTGAACCTGACCGTCAATCTCAGGAAAGGTCACCTCCCACGACTGAGAGTGTAACATCATAAAACCAGTGCCCTGTGAGCCTGCTCCACGTGATCAGATGAAGCTCCCTTTCTGATTGCAGCCTCCTGAAGCAGAAGCCTAAAGCCTGCTGGAAAGGCATTCAGCCCCTGCTTTGCACAGGATGGTATAGATTCGTCTTTTGGCTTTGAACTATGTTCATTTCTGTATGCATAATTAATTTAAAAGCTGCTGCCACATAGCATTCTGTCTGCCCTTTGGTTTCTATTAGATTTGTTAAAAAGACCTTCTAAAGTTGACCAATAAAATGTTTTGTTTTGTTTTTTCCAAAATTGAACAAACATACAAATAACAACAACAGAACAAAGCTCGGCTGGAGTTGCTGAGAGGGCCCAGGAGTGAGCCCCCTGACCTTTCCAGACACGCCAGGCCCATTGCTCCCCTGCTTGGCCTGCTCTCTGCCTTTCAGGCTCTGGATCTGCTCTCCTCCTGCCCAGGACTGGGGCTCCTCTTCAGATTTCAGCTCAATTGCCATTTCTTTCTAGTAACCTTCCCTGAGCACTTCATCTAATGTCACCAAGCCTTGAGATTGGTTTGTTTTCTCGTCATGCTTGTGCAGCCATTCAGGTGACTGAGGTTGAAAGGGAACTACTTGTTCAAGATCACATTCTTAGAAAATTGGTGATCTGAGTCTATTGACTTCTAAATCAAGGTTCTTCATAATCCTCATCTCTAGCCAGATGCTGCTGATTCAATTAGCTAATCCACTGAGAAAAAGAATGCAGGACGTTGTAGAGTCCTGTGTGCGTTGAATTCAGAGCACTCCAGGAGTCATTTAGACTCTCCCAGCTCTGTTCCCTTGCTGTCTCCTCCCTCCTGGCTCCCTCTCCTGACTGTCAACTCCATGAAAAGTCTGGTGAATCACTGCCTGTGATAAAGGCTGTACACGTGTTGACTATGGAGACTCCATTGAGCCTGAAGTCGTGGATAAGGATGGCCATACCGCAGAAAGGGCTCACTGTGTGTATTAAGCACTGCATTTGTATTAATATGCAAACCCTGAGTGGTGGCTCTGTGTGACATCAGGGAAGCTATGTGGTTAAATGATGGCCCTGACTTTCACAATCACAAACAGGTATGAAATGAAGAGTGCAAACTGTCCCTCCTCCACTCAGTTCCTAAGTTGTTGGACTCTTTCTTGGCGATGTCCCTCATGCAGAACCTCCTCTCCTCCAGGCCCTTGATCACCATCTGACTGCTTAAAAAGAGCCTCTTAACTGGTCTCCCTGGCTGAGGTCTCTAGTATCTTTCCTACTCAAGTCTCTACAACTTCTGTTGACCAAATCTGATGATGTCATGTCCATGGTCAGAAACATTTAACAATGTGAATTATCTACCATACAAAGTACACATTATTTAGTAAGGAATTTAGAGCCCTCCCCTGGTCACATCTGGTCTCATTTCAGAATGAAACTTTCCAGTAATCAGTACTCATTTTTTCCAACTCAAAACTTTTGCTCATATGTTCTTTCTATGGGGTGTCAGTAATTCTTACTTGTATTTCCACAATTCAAAGCCTGCCTATTTCTCAACATCCAAATAGGAAGCCACCCGGTCTGTCAATCCAGGAGGGAGTATCCTTGCATCGGCACACCCAAGTCCTTTGGGTTTTACCTGCCATATTCAACCCTTATATTCTGGTTCTGTAGTGTCTCAACTTCCTCTGCCTTCCACCCAACTTCACTTTGACTAGGAAGTACATTCTTTGAGGCAGGGGATCAAGCCTGGGTCACCTCATTGTCCTGCCTGCACCTAGCACAGAGTCATGCTTAGGGGTTCAGCAAGCAGCTGTGGCATGATGGAATAAAAAATATAATCACTGGGATATTTCGTTGATTTGTTTGTCCTCCTTTGTTGCTGAACATCTGTTTTTCATCCAGTACAAAGAAGCTTAACTCAAACAATAGTATTGTGAATAAAAACAACCAGAAGTACAAAGTATGGTGATTACAATGTTGTGCTTAATAAGTTTGCCTATCCATTTATCTAGTGAGAGTATGGGAGCATGGTGTGGAATCAGAAGAGAGAGGAATATGCCACAAAGACCATCTCAACATGCACGAGACACATACTTATTTGCATGAGGGTGTGAGTAGTCTCATAGGAAAATGTTCAACCAAGGGAAGAGAGTTGAGGCAAACACACACACACACACACACACACACACACACTTCTTTAAAAACCAGGCACTGGCTATAAGGGAATAGGGGCAAAGTTTGAGTGTAACAGGGAATGACATTTATAATTTTTTCTCATTTCACTCTACTTTTTTTGGGGGGTGGACCAGGGATTGAATTTATGGGTACTCAGCCACTGAGTCACACCCCCAGCCCTATTTTGTATTTTTATTGAGTCTCACTGAATTGTTTAGTGCCTCACCATTGCTAAAGCTGGCTTTGAACTTGAGATCCTTTTGCCTCAGCCTCCCGAGCCGCTCGGATTACAGGCATGTGCCTCTATATCCGGCTGTTTCACACTACTTTTAGGAACTTTTTCAGGGCCCACAGAAGAGAAAGCTATGATGAAAAGAGAGATATATACGAGAAATGAGAGAGGAGAGAGAATGAGTAGGTAAAGAACACATTGGAACAACTTTAGCTAAGACAAAGACTACTGCCCTAACAGCCAGCACTGAGGCAAATGGATGTTGGTGACAGAGAGGGGGCAGGGAAGATCTCCTCTATGTTCTGTGATCTGTAGGTCAGAGTGTAATAACAGCAGGGTCAAGGGCTACCTGATATCCCTGCCACCTGGAAATGATGTAAATGTGGGAACACAAGTGTAAGACACATATATCTGTGGCTGGTGATATTGCACAGATACATAGGTGACGTAAAGAGTCTGGCTAGATGAGAAAGGAAATGGCTAGTGGAGATGAAGAAGGGCTGAGCATGACACATGACACAAGGTGGCCATGCACATCGTACAGTTCTGAGGTCCCCAGCAACCAATCTCAGGGTTAGGCAAAGCCATAGCGGCCTTAACATGGAAGCTACAGGAATCACCTCACGGTGGTGACCCCGTGGCCCACACAGCTAACACAGCCTGTGGGGAAGGAACATGCCATGAGTGTGGCTCTGCAGGCTATGTTACACATGGGGATTTCTGTGACCATCTCAGTGACTCACGAGGGTCTACAGAGCAGTGAGGCTTCTACAGTCCTGATTTTGACTACCATCTCAGATTTATGTGGCCAAGGGAATGTAGGTTATAAAGATAGGGAAAAAAAATAACCTTTCCACAGGTTAATGCCAATTTGGTGCAAGTCCACAGAGGAACACTTAGGACGAGAATCCTCTGAGAAAGCACCTTAGAGCCCCAAGGCCACCCTGTTCCTGGTCTACTCGGGAACTGAACAAAGTACAAGGTTATGTGACTCCTCAGCTGGCTGGACACTCTTTCCTGAAAGCTGAGCCAATTTTCTCTTGACCCACCCCAAGGTTAGCCTGAGAATTGGTTACAGGCTTTACCTAAGGAATTCAACCATGGCATATGGCCAATTGGAGATGGGTTTGATGTGGGGATAATTTTGTAGGTTTGAATCCTCCCTTGATGGATCCCAGAATCTAATTTGGTTTAGCTACCAAAAGCCATAGTTGAGAAAGTTCAGATCTTTGTATTTTCCCACATCTCACCCTAGCACTGTGGTCAGAGAAGTTCACAGGTGTCCTGGGGCATATGGGTGGCTCAGGGCAGCAGGAATTGAAAGGCACTGCCCCTGTGCAAGGGCAGAACTATTCCATGGCATAGGGGCAGCCATGCCAGCTGAAGTCCTCCAGGACCCATGTCTCACTGCATTCCCGGGACTTTCTCTGAAGAGTCTCTTTGGGGAAGTGGTATGTGACAATTATGAGTACAAGCCTAGGAGTGGGACAGGTCTGACTTCTAACTCAGACTTTTCTGATGTGTAAGTGTCTATTCACATGGGAATACTATTTATTCCCTCATTTATAACTGCAAAAATCAAAGAATTAAATGTGGCACACAATCTCTTTTTTTTTTTTTTCATCTTTCAAGTTCTATGGAGATTTCTTAAGTCTTGGATTTGCACATAGTATAGCTGTTTCATATGTTGTGTAAATGAGTAAAAAGAGTAAATAAAAGAATAAATAAATAAGGAATGAATGGATTGATAAACACACCAATAATTTTCAGAAATTGAATACATACAATTCTACTTTAATGAAAACATAATTATCCAAATTTTATTAGTTTTTTTAAACTTATTTTAAAGGAAACATCAAAGTTGAATATATAATGGGGTACTGTGTAATGTTTGGTACATGAATACATTGTATAATATTCAGATCAGGTTACATCCTTAACTCCAAACCTTTACACCATTTCTTAGTAGTGAACACGTTCAAATTCTTCTAGCTTTTTGAAGTAAGCAGTACATTATTGTTATCTGTAGTGGATTTCTTTCCACGTTTTCATGTTGTCTTCAATTTTTTTCATATTTATGTTTTATTAATGTTTATAATTTGCATTGTAAATATCTTTCATCTATTTGGTTAAATTTATTCCTTAGTGTTTTTTATAGTATGATGAGATTGATTTCTTGGTTTCTATTTCTATAAATAGTGATTGATATATAGCAATGCTACTGAATTTTGTATGTTGCCTTTATACTTAGCAACTTTGCTGAACTCGTTTATCAGTTCTAATAGGTTTTTTTTTTAAATCTTTGGTGGAGTTTTTGGGTTTTTCTATATAAAATATCTTGTCAGCTGCAGCCAGTAACAATTTGACTTCTTTTTAATTTGAATGCCCTTTATTTATTTCTGTTAGCTAATTACTCTGGCTATGACTTTCAGCACTATGTTGAATAAAGTGGTGAAAGTGGTCATTCTTGTCTTGTTCCAGATTTTATAAAACTTTCCACTTTTCCCCTTTCAGTATGATGTTAGCTGTTGGCTTATTATTAGTGGCCATTGTAATGCTGAGGTACATTTCTTATATGCCCCGTTCAGCACTCTTATCCTGAATGGATGTGAACTGTACTTCCCATTTGATCATGATGAATAGCTTTTTAAAATGTGCTGTTGGGTTTGGATTGAGGATTTCTGCATCTATGTAAATCAAGGATATTGGACTTTCGTTTTTCTTTCTTTTTTGTTTTGTGTTGTGTCCTTGCCTGGTTTTGGTATCAGGGTAATGCTGGTCTCATAGAATATGTTTGTAAGAATTCATTTCTCTTTTCTTTGTTTTTGTTTTTTGAAACTAAGAGATATTGTATTAGTTCTTTAAATGTTTGGTAGAACTCAGCAGT